GAAGGGCAGACCTGAGCTAAATGTTGGAGGGTGAACAGGAAGTTGCCAGATTGAGGTATTGGGGGCAGTGGGCATAAGAGGCAGAGATCGGGTCAGGAGAGCCATTCCATGGCGATGGTGAAGAAGTTGGAGGTTGTCCCATGGGTGATAATTCCTGAAACACCTGTTAGATCATGTCCCTCCTCCATGCATCTCAATCAGAGCAAAAGCCAATCTTTATTGCCTTAGTGATAAGAGCATCAGCCTGCACACTGAAGGGTTGTGGGTTCAATTCCCAGTCAAGGGCATGTACCTGGGTTGCAGGTTTGATCCCTGGCCCTGGTGGGGATGTGTGCAGGAGATCGATGTCTCTCACATCGATCTTTCTCTCTTTGTCTGTCTGTCTCTCCCCCTCCCTTCCACTCCCCCTAAAAAAAAATCAGTGGAGTCCTAACCGGTTTGGCTCATTTGATAAAGCGTCGGCCTGCGGACTGAAGGGTCCCAGGTTCGATTCCGGTCAAGGGCATGTACCTGGGTTGCGGGCACATCCCCAGTAGGAGGTGTGCAGGAAGCAGCTGAATCAATGTTTCTCTCTCATCGATGTTTCTAACTCTCTATCCCTCTGCCTCTTCCTTCCTCTCTGTAAAAAATAAATAAAATATATATTTTTTTAAATCAGTGGAGCCAGCTGGCGTGGTTGAGCGTCAAACTATGAACCAGGAGATCATGATTTGTTTCCTGGTCAGGGCACATGCCCAGGTTGTGGGTTCAATCCCCAGTGTGGGGCATGCAGGAGGCAGCCAATTAATGATTCTCTTTCATCATTGATGTTTCTATTTCTCTCCCTCTCCCTCTCCCTTCCTCTCTGAAATAAGTAAAAATATTTTTTTAAAAATGAATGAAAAAAATATCCCCCGGGTGAGGAGTAACAGCAACAAAAAGTCCGTCTTTATTGCGGGCTCAATGCCCTCATGATTTGGCCCCATGTGACCTCTCTGATCTTATCTCCTATCACTTTCCTTACTGTCACTCTGCTCCAGCTACACTATTCCTCAAGCAGTCATGCCAGGCACAGTTCTACCTCAGAGCCTTTGCACTGGCTCTGCCCTCTGTCTGCACTGCTCTTGCCTCAGACAGCCGCACAGCTCACTCTTTCACGTCCATCAGGGCCCTGCTTATATGCCGTTTCTTCAAAAAGACCTTCCCTGGCCACCACATCTAAAACAGCACCTTTTACTATTGAGCTGCAGCTTCCTTCCTAGCATGTATCTCTACCTGAAATGATAGTATATATTTATAGTCTGCTTCTCCCGCTACAGTGTCACCTCCCCGAGGGAACAAATCTGTGTCTTGTTCGCTGTTATGTTGGCAGCCCCCAGCACTGTGCCTGGCACAGAGAGAGTGTTCAGTCATTGTTTGCTGGTTGAGTCATGAGGAGCCACGCAAGTGTTTTAGTGGGAGAGCAAAATACTCAGGTTTGTACTTGGGAAAGCTGTGTGTGGCCACAGGATGGAGAAAGGATTGGACATTGTGGTCAAAATTTAGGTGAGCCCTAGCTGGTTTGGCTCGGTGGATAGAGCATCAGCCTGCGGACAAAAGGGTCCCAGGTTCGATTCCGGTCAAGGGCACCTGCCTGGGTTGCGGGCTCGGTCCAACCTGCAGGAGGCAGCCAATCAATGATTCCCTCTCATCAATGTTTCTCTCTCTTCCTCTCCTTTCCTCTCTGAAACCAATAAAAATATTTTTTAAAAAAATTTAGGTGAAAGGCCCTAGCTGGTTTGACTCAGTGGATAGAGTGTTGGCTCACGGACTGAAGGGTCCTGGGTTCGATTCCGGTCAAGGGCACATACCGGTTGCGGGCCCAATCCCCCGCCCTTGAGCCTTGGTCTGGTGCATGCGGGAGGTAACCAATGGATTTGTCTCTCTCACATTGATGTTTCTGTCTCTCCCCCTCCCTTCCACTCTCTCTAAAAATCAATGGAATAATATCCTTGGGTGAGGATTAACAAACTTTAGGTCAGGGGTCCTCAAACTTTTTAAACAGGGGGCCATTTCACTGTCCCTCAGACCATTGGAGGGCCGGACTATAGTTTAAAAAAAAACAACTATGAACAAATTCCTATGCACACTGCACATATCTTATTTTGAAGTAAAACAACAAAACAGGAACAAATACAATATTTGTATTTGCATGTGGCCCGCGGGCCGTAGTTTGAGGACCCCTGCTTTAGGTGAAAGGACTTACCTGTCCTCACAGCCAATAAGCCTACCAGAGCTCATTCACTAACTCCCTTACTCTGGAAGTTTTTATTGAGCACCTACTCTGCTCCAGGCCTTGTACTCTATGTTTGTTAGGAGATTACCAAGTTCTCTTCTTGGGCTGGGATTCTGGGAGTCATGACCATAAGTAGCTGTCACGCTTTGCCAAAGCTAACCTGCACCATAAAAAGGGGGAGCTCAGCCTCACCGGTTTGGCTCAGTGGATAGAGCGTCGGCCTGCGGACTGAAGGGTCCCAGGTTCGATTCCGGTCAAGGGCATGTACCTTGGTTGCGGGCACGTCCCCAGTGGAAGTGTGCAGGAGGCAGCTGATCGATGTTTCTCTCTTATCGATGTTTCTAACTCTCTATTCCTCTCCCTTCCTCTCTGCAAAAAAATCAATAAAATATATTTTTTAAAAGGGGGGGGGGAGCTCAGAACAGGGTCAGGCATGGTTTCTGGCTGGAGGCGGGCTCCGGGAGGGCTTCTTAGTGGTGGCATATGACCCGAATCTTGATGAACCGGGTTGTGGGGGGGATTTCTCAGATTGCAGAGATGATAGGGCCTGCATTCCAGGTGAAAGGTACTGTATGCGCAGCTTTGACGGTGGAAAGCAGAAGAGTATTGGGGAGAAACAGGATCCGGGCCAGGCTGGAGGGAGGGGTGGCTGGGGGAGGGGACTGGCAACCAACCCTGCATGGCTTAATGTTGAAGAGTGAGCTCTGGAGTCAGACTGTCTGGACTTGGATCCTGGCTCTGTCGTGAATAGCTGCGTGTGATCACAGATATGTTCCTTAACCTCTCTGGGCCTCGGTTTCTTGATGTGTAACATGAAGATAAATAACAATACCTATTGCATAGGGTTGTTTGGAAGAGTAAACAAGTTACTAAATGTGAAGTCGTAAGAACAGTGGCTGAACATGCTCTGAGCTCTCTAAGCATTAGCTGTTACCTTGGGAGAGAACTCCAATGCCACGATAAGGAACTTGGGCTATCTCTTGTGAGCAATGGGAGCTATGGATGGTTCATGAACAAAGGCGACAGTTTATCGGAATTGAGCTGGGGTTGTGTACTGGGAGACAGGTTTGAGAGGTGGTGGGCAAGATTCTGCAGTCCTGAGGGGGAGGGAAGGAGCATCTTAGATGCCTGGGGTAGGGGCCAGGGGCTGGGCGGAGTCTGACTCCTGGAGGGGGACTTCCCAGGCCCCTGAGGTCCAGGAGGAGAGAGAATTTGGGGTAAAAGGCAGCCCCCCAGTTGGTTTCCTCCTGGCTCCTAGTAGTGCTGCAGACTGATGCTTGGGAGGGAGGAAGGTGAACAGTGGGCGGGAGCTAAACCCCTGCAGCCCAGGACCTGGCCTCGTGGGTGCAGCTTCCCCACTGAGCCCAGCACCCAGCCCAAAGTACTCTTCTGCGGAGCTGCCAGGCCTGCTGCAGCTCCAGCTCCTGCACTGGTAGGGAGCCCGCCACACTCACCTCAGCTCTCCTCTGCCCTGTACCCTGGCCTTTGCCAAGTAGGGGCTGGGGAGTGGCCCCTTAACCCTTTCACCAGCCAAGAGCCCCCTCAACCCTGTGCCTGCCCAAATCAGACCATTACCTGGGCCCAGCCACACCCATTTCCCCCAACCACGACCCTCTCCAGGCCTCACTAGATCTTACTCTTAATTCTCCCCCCTGTTGGCCAACCTCTGTGGCTCCTCACAGTGTCCTCTGGGCTCTGAGCAGCTGGGCTCTGTCGCCACCTGGGTTCCCTGGCAGCCTGGTTGTCATGGCACCATGGAAGCAGGTCTGGTGGAACAACAGCTCTGGGTAACCAGGGCAGGCAAGGCCCAGTGCCTAGCTCCTGCCACTCTTCTGCCTTAAGACCCCTGTGTCCCTCCCCCAGCTGAGCAGAGAACGCCATGAGGAGAAAAAGGAAGCTGCCCCGGAGGGCAGCTCTTTACCTGTGAGGATGCTGCATGGGAAGCGACTCCCACTGTCACTGAGCCCTGTGCCCTGGCAGCCAGGGAACTCTGGGAACTGGCCAGGCCCAAGTCCAGGCCTCTAAGGGCAGGGGTGAGGCTTCAGGGGGCGGGGCTGGGCAAGGAGGGAAGAGCGTGGATACCTGGATGCCAGGAGTGGGCCTGGGGCTGGGACAGGGCTGATCTGGGGTGGTGCTGGGGGCAGACCTGTGAGGGGAAGAGGTCTGGGGGGAGGGGAGCTATAAGGGAAATGGCCCATCAAGGTGGATTTGGAGGTGGAGCTGTTAGGTAGGATTATTAGGAAAAAAGGGGGCTTGTGGGGACAAGACCAGGAAGAAACAAGTCTGGTAAAAAGTCTGTGTGTGGGGGGGGGGGGGGGGACGGGACGTGGCCATGAGGGGACCAGGCAGTGAGGGGTGAAATGGGACTGCAGACAAGACTGAGGAGACCACACCCTAAGGGAAAGGAGTCGGAGGATGGAGCTGTGAGCAGGGATAGGGCCTGTGAGGGGAGAGGGCCCGTGAAGATAGAGCTGTGAGCAGATGGGGCTGAAGGGGAATGAGGACAGGGCTGTGGAGGCAAGGGGACCAGAAGGAAAGGGAGCATGAGGGCAGTGAGGGGCAGGTAGGACTGTCTAGCTTGGGGGCAGGTAGGACTGCTTTCTGGCCTTTAAGTATTGGGGTCCCTGTATCTGTGAAGAAGCCGAGGGGGATGGGGTTGCGGAAGGGATTTGGTCCACATGCCCAGTCTGGCCCAGCAGGCATCCTTTGTTCCCACATCCTGGCTTATCTTATCTAATCCCCACAGTGTGGAGGGTGATGCCCCAGGCAGTGACCTGAGCACAGCGGTTGATAGTCCTGGGAGCCAACCCCCCTACCGGCTGAGCCAGCTGCCCTCCAGCAGCAGCCATATGGGGGGTCCCCCTGCTGGGGTGGGCCTTCCCTGGGCTCAGCGGGCTCGCCTCCAGCCAGCCAGTGTGGCCTTGAGGAAGCAGGAGGAGGAGGAGATAAAGCGCTCCAAGGCCCTGTCGGACAGCTACGAACTCTCCACGGACCTGCAGGACAAGAAGGTACAGAGGACGTGGCTCTGCTTGGGAGTGGGAGTAGGAATGGGGCTATGAGGGGACCAAGGGAGGGGTTGGGATGTGGCACTTGAGGGAGATATGCTTAGAGGGATAGTGAGACTGGACGGGGAGAAGACGGGCTCCAGGACCCTTCGCCCTATTGGGGGCTCATTCACCACCTATTCACCAAGTATCCACTCCCTCAGCAGATACTAATTCAGCTCCCTGCTGGGCACTGGAGATGTAAAAATGAATGGGACCTGGATCCCGTTCTCAAAAATCTCTGTCTGATGGGAGAAGCACACACTTAAGTTGACAATTTCAGAAGAATATGCTACAATATATCACATATACCACACAAGATATTGCTTAGCTAAAGGGAAGGGCACAAAAATACTACATATAGAAAAAAAAAAACCTGGAAGGGCATATACTAAAATTTTAATTGTGTTTATGCCTAGGTGTTGGGACTTTAAGTGAGCCAGCCAACCTTCCTTCCTTTCTTCCTTCCTCCCTCCCTCCCTTCCTCCTTTCCTCCCTCCCTTACATTCTCTCTAAAAAGCAATGGAAAAAAATATCTCCCTCTCTCCCTCCATATCGTCCCTCTCTCTCCTCCCTTCTCATTCTCTCTCTTCCTCCTTCATCTCCTTCTTGCTCTCAGTTTCTTTCTTTCTTTCTTTCTTTCTTTCTTTCTTTCTTTCTTTCTTTCTTTCTTTCTTTCTTTATAGAAAATATTGGGGTGACACTGGTTAATAAAATTATAGAGGTTTCAGTTGTACAATTCTGTAATACATAATCTGTGTGCTATATTATGTGTTCACTACCCCAAGTCACGTCTCCTTCCGTCACCCTTTATCCCTCCTTTACCCTCTCCTATCTCCCCCAACCTATGAGTTTTTTGTTTTTGCTTTTTGCTTAATCCCTCTTCCTTTCCTTCCCTGCCCTTCCCTTCCCTTTTCTTCCCTCCCCTTCCCTTCCCTGCCCTTTCCTTCCCTTTTCTTCCCTCCCTTTCCCTTCCCTGCCCTTCCCTCCCCTTCCCTTCTCTTTCCTTCCCTTCCTTCCCTTCCCTTCCCTGCCCTTCCCTTCCCCTTTCTTCCTTCCCTCCCCTTCCCTTCCCTCCCCTTTTCTTCTCTTCCCTCCCCTTCCCTTCTCTTTCCTTTCCTTCCTCCCCTTCCCTTCTCTTTCCTTTCCTTCCTTCCCTCCCCTTCCCTTTTCTTCCCTCCCCTTCCCTT